AACTCCGATTGTAAATGGAATTACAAGTAAACGATTTTTAATTTTAATCCGATAATTAAAGTACATATACGATAATGTATTTAGATGATAATTATTTTTTCATTTAAAATGAAATACTGGTATTGGTATCTATGATATCTGTTTTTATCAGGGTTAGTAGACACATTGGCATGGCTACTGCCTACATCGATGTTAGGATGATGATTCTACATAGTTTCTTTACTTACCTCAATATTCAAGACCCAAATATTGATTATAAGTAAGTAATAAACTTTCATCGTCGTGATGAATTGTAATAAACTGTATTCTTCATTCCTTAATTTGTGTGATTTTATACTACAAATTTAAATGGGACCAAATGTGAAGTATAAAATGAAATAAAGAGTTTTTTTCCTAAAAGGCCGTCAACGCGTTTGTGACTACTGGGTTGCAGACGTTCATGGGCGGGCGATAGTCACTTTCCATCAGGTGTCCCGTCTACGCGTCTGCCCCCTCTAATATATAAAAAAAAACTTAGTTCTAGGGTTGTTACCCTAGAACTCAAAATCAGAACACAAAAGAACCGTCTCCATTTTATTTCCAAATAGGAACCTTATCCATTTTGGTTGATAAGAAGCCTTGTGACATAGTCACTGATGACAACGTTATTTGAGGGCCTAATGGTTGTCGGAACAAACGAGCCCAAGATCAGGGTTCATTCAGTTTAAAAAGATATCTTAGGACCGGCCGATATGGCTTAAATTAAGATAAGTCTGTAGCATATCATATAAAAAGAACTTGTAACCAATCAAGGGCTTAGTAAAGAGCTGCGTCAATAGTCGGTTCGTTCAGTAATTTGACTGCACAGATGGCTTAGTGATTTAAGACGACACTTTGTGTGTGTTATTCTGAGTCTGGGTGTTCTTTGTGTCCGTTTCATGTATGTTTTTAAAGTCTTAAAATTAAAATATACTTTTTTAACACCTGCTAATTTGCTAATTTGTGTAATCACCACATGTATATCTCCTAGGGGCAGAGACTCCTCACAAGATTTACGAGTATATGTATTTTTATTCATATCAATTAAACTTATTAAAGTTTTGTTAATATCGTTAATTCCCAGAGTACATGCTATTCAAAATTTCCTAATACAAAACATAATAATAATTTGCACGACTTAGAAATCAAACCCAGCCCTTTACGACCCAATAAGTATCAATTTATATATTGTTAATAACAAGGCAATGGTACAGATAAACTAACAATAAACTATATAATTCAAGGAGATATGAACAAAATCCATCATCTTGTTTTATTGCAGTTGTACATTTGTGTGTGAAAAGGTGTATATTTTTTTGCTATCTCTACAAATGTCATTTGATATCCGTAATTAACAACGACTCTGAAAGCCCTTAATTGCGTATTATCTAAACATCAGCTCTTATAGACACGACATGTATTTAAAAAATAAGATAAAAAATATGTTAACAGTAATTAAGGTGCGGCCTCGTGCACTGTTATTTATAATTATATTTATTTTTACGTACAAGAAATTTAATTAACATTTTATTATCACTAACCAAATTATCAATATAATATCAAGTTTCTCAAAGAATTAGATATAAACATTGTTGGAAACTTTAAAATCTTAACTAAATAAGCCCAAGGCCTGAATGTCACATTACAGTCCACGTTTGATGACATTTGTGAGATCGAAAGAAGATCGGTACTGAATTTTGATCTGACCTGACCTTGAATTGAGAATTGACCTACAGGTGTCTGCATAAACACTGGGCTTGGGCTAGTAGATTTAACTATTTGAACTCATTTTTTAATACTGCCAAGGCAAAAAGTAGTGGTACACATACAGTGTAAATACAACACCATGGCAACCCCAAACAACTTTATACATAATAAATATTTATTTGATAAAATAAAAAAGTGTGTGTGTGTGCAATTCACACACAGCAGAAGTGAAACTTCCGAAAAAATATTTTCTAAACAAATAAATAAAATTGAAGTGTTTGTTTGTAATGTCAAATTGCACGATACCTATGCCTAAAAACAGTTTTTTTCTGTCTGTCTGTCTGTTTGTGCCGGGTAATCTTATAAACGCCTGCACCGATTTTGACAATATTTTATTACCAGGTAGTTGTTTATATATGGAGTAACTGAAGCTATTTTTCTTTTTTTTACTACATACACACGTACAAACTCGTTGAAAGATTCTAAAGAAGTTTCACTTCAAAAATTGTGGTTCAGTAAAAGATGGTCTTACTAATTATTCAAGAATACTACATTTATCTATTTATATGTCAATCAATAAAGGGTAGTAGTAGTAACCATTTTTTTTACTCAGTCATCGAACCTGCGGATACGGTGACCATCAATTATATTCCTTAAAGGGCCTTAATTGCATTTATCATTACATCTTGATGTCGCTACCGTCGAGACGAATGTCAAACGGACCAGTCTTGTTCATGTTTGCTCTACAAAGTAAGAAGTAAAACATATTTTATTGATATCTTACTTTTTGTTTAATGCTTTGTAATTAGGTTCTTACATTTTCTTCTTAAATTCTATGTATGTTGTATTAGGTGAGTAGGGATCAAACATGGAATAGTATTGTATCTTATACCAGAATATTTAAAAGCTAGTTCTGAGGTAGTAACGAAGTTGTATTTTCCGTTTCCTGCAGGAATAACACTACTGATAGTCACGACGTAATTAATTCGCAATATTAGTGATAATAATGATAGAACTATATGTAATATTACCATAATTACCAACAGACACGTCATTTTTGGCAATTACTGATCGCTGATAAAGGAGTGTACCGGTACGTGGTCGATTCAGGGCATTTGTTTACATTGCTTTTCAGCGATAACTGTACACATCATTTTGAAAGATCCTGTATTTGTATGAAATACCTGGTCTATAGTACGCGATACCTGTGATTTTAATGGTTTTTTTCTGAGACAACTCCTGCACTAGGAATAGATCCTGTGTCGCGGGGGACTTTAAAACATACATGAAACGGACATAAAGAACACCCAGACTCAGAACAACAATTTGTGGATTACATAAAATGTTGTCCCATGTGGGGATCGAACCCATAACACTCATCGCATTAAGAAGGGGCGCCATCCGTGCAGTCCTTTACCATTCCTTTTTTCTTCCATATTTCTTGCTTACGCGTATACTTTCTTTTTGTGGGTGACCATACATTTAATATATTATGACTAAAAGTGCCTTAGTTACTCCAAGGTCAATAAATAGTTAGACTAAATAAACCAAGCAATTTGTTTTAAACTTAAACACCAACTGTTCAATATAAACATTAAAATTATCAGTAATTAAATCTGTTTTGACAACTTAAAACGTTGACATGTCCAAAAACCGGCTCCGTAACAAGAATTTAATCAACACTTTGGAACTTATAAAAAACGAGAATCTCACTAAAGTCAGGGCTGCCACAGCTAAGTAATTGATATGAGAGAATTTCCTTGAAGGGTCAGCTGTAATAAGTAGCCCCGGGCGAGACGGCCCATTGACCGTTTATAAACTAAGTGCAGGGTTGTCAAACGTACGTAACTGTACTCTTGTTACTATTTCTGATAATGTAATTCATGTTGAAGTACTTGATATTGTTTAATTTAATTTTATATGAAGAGTTCAGTAGATATCATGTTGTGTAGTATCATTGAAATAATTGTAATTCAATAATGAAGTGCTTATTGTAGCTATAACTGGTTTATTGGTTATTCAACAATAACCCTTCAAACAATATTGAAAGCAGATATTAATTATAGAATATAATTTCATTTATAATACTTTTTATTCTTCTTTTATAAAATTATTTCACCTAATAATTTAACAAATGGATGATACAATTAAACACATTTAATAACTAAACTTTTGCTGTCTAAATTTACGCGTGACAACCATAACTAGTTGTCGGCCGGACAGCCATTACAGCACTTATAGAACTCATCGTATGTCAATGTTATGTTCACAAGCTGGTCCGGATTGCTTTCTTATCAACTTTTTAATATGTCCTTCACACTTGTGAGAAAGGAGATACGACTGGAAGTCTTCCGTAAACGTTAAATATAAACTCTTATATTGGTTTTTCTCGTAGTTTTTCTTCATTAAGTGAGTTTATCCCTTTAGATAAATTTTATATTACTTATTGACTATCTAAGATTTTGTTTTTAAAAATATCGTTATATTGGTTTAGGAATGTTATGGGCCTGGTGGGCGCGTGGTTATTGATCCTGATTGCTAAGCCAGAAGTCGTGGGTTCGATTCCCATTCAGGATAAATAATTGTGTGATGAGCACTATCGTTGGTTCTGTGTCTGAGTGTAATTTATCTATTATGATGAATATATTTAGTAATATATAAGTATGTCTATTAGTAGTCTGGTTATCATAGTACAGGGACTGCTTAGTTTGGGACCAGACAGCCGTGTGTGAGATGTGTGAGGTTCTGTTTTTGTTACACCCACAGACGACCATATTTTGCGTGGTTTTTACAGATATGAGGTTTTTGATTTCAAATACATAATACGATAGGTTATAGAGAGAGAAATGATAAATAATGATAAGTATGTTATATGCTGTATCTGAAAAAAAAAACTCATTGCTAACTCTCACTCTCATGAATTAATAACTTTGAGGAATCGCATTCCCATATGAAAGTACAAGTTACTCACAAAATCTTATAAATTTGAATTCCCTGTCGTTTTAACCAAATTGAAGCCTGACTGATTACCAGGTTAAAAACCTGTCAGAACTCTGTTTACAACTATCTAATACCTACTGTGATAGCGTAATAAATAATTATATATTTATCATACAATAGTAGACAATTTCGTCTGTCCTTTTTTGCCCCACATTTATTTTAATCTCATTCAAAGTACTGTCATTATTACGTCAATGTCATAACTAAAATAAATGAACTTGTAGTTCAGACTCAAATAATGACACGACGAAATATTAATTGTTATAATAATTACAATGTATTTACGTGACAGTTACGTCGTAAATATAATACAAATTCAGTACAAAGCAGGTGCATCGCATTTTTGGTCGGAAATATTTAAACTACTGGATTGTTTGGCAATTCCGGTGAATCCAGCACGATGCGCAATATTACTATTAAAATATTCTAGGTGATATTTTAAATTAATATATTATAGCAGCTTTTAATATTGGTAGAATAATTTGGTAGAAAAATAAAATAGTTTCCTAGCTTAAAAAGGAAACATTTTCTTTTTGTGTGTATGTTACGCAATGTCTTCAGTATTTATGAACTGATTTAAATAATACCTCTTTAATTAAAGTGTTTGTATTCAAATTTTCTAATCCATATTTAGAATCATGAATTATATATTGTAATATTATTGTTGCACATGATAGCTTTAGCACTCAGTAAAGTTAATTACTTCACAAAATAATTAAGTTGTTATGAATTAAGTATATTTCATAAAAAGCTGAGAAGCCCAAAATCGATCTAAGTGGCGTGCAATGGGAGAGGCCTTTGTCCAGTAGTGGACTGCGATAGGCTGATGATGAAGTAGATATATATTACGTTCATTCAATTCTTAAGTTATTTTAGTAGAACTAAATTTCTGTGGAAAACCGGTTAAAATTACAATTAATCATAATTATTCTGTAAACTACAACTCCTTCAAAATATATCCACATTATACGAACATAAAACTACCGTCCGTCCTTTATTGTTTAAGGCTTCGGTAATAGTACTCAAGTATCCCCATCCACTAACAGACAAACAGTTTAACACAACATGGGTAATCTCACGTAAAAATTACCGGGAATCGAGGAAATCCATTACCCTTGATTTGGGGTAAACACGTACGAGTGGGGTAAACTGATTCCGACTTATCCAATTACGACCCTCCGTTAACTGACGTATGTTAGACACGCAATTCTATAAGTTAAACGATAAGTAGTTTAATTGTTATATTAATTCGAGAGGTTCGTCATTGTTATTTATGGCCACCAAAATATAAATGATAGTTTATTATAAACGAATATTAGATTTGCCTTTTCTTAAGTTACAAAGATTTTTTTATTAATTTAGAACAATATTACTATTAGTATGAGTTATAACCTAGGCTAAAATTTATACCAGGTGCATACCTCCTTTCTATGTAGAGGCCTGTGTCCAGCAGTGGACTAATAAGGGTGTTGATGATGATGATACAAAATATAATTTTTCGTCATTAAACATACTAGGCATACTTACAAATGCAATTATGTATTTTGTATTTTTTATTAAAACTCCAAGACTAATTATTAAAATGAAGTATACTTAGTAGCAGTCTCTGCTAATTAAAATTATATAAAAAGAAGATGAAATTAATTTTATAATAGTTGGTAAGGCTTTGTTAATTACACAAGTGGTCATTACGAGTCAGTATAATTCAATTTAGGACAAAAATTTAAACCTCTATAAACCACAGACGTTTGTTGATTTATTGTAAAAGTTGTAAAAGAAAAACTTAAAACGACTTTATTAGTCTTTGACTTGCTAAATCTGTTACTTAGCTGTAGCTTAGCTAACACAACCAAGTAATTCTTAGCTAAATCGTTCGTAATTATATCTACTGAAGTCAGGTAAAAAATAAATTAAATATTTATTTACCTTAACTAATTATGTAGTTTACTAAGACACTAAAAGAAATCTTAGTCTTCACAAAATGAAAATTAAATTTGATCTACTTACACTATTTATTTTTCTAAATATCAGTTTTGACTTAAGAGACAGTCAATTGAGTTTACGTCATCTCTAAGACTACCTTAATAGTCCCCCAATAAAGTAAGGTATAGTGATTTCAAACGGTCAATTGGCTCCGAAAACTTACAGACAGCGGACGGACATTGTGACGTTTCGTGTTATTACAAGCGGAAATACGATAATTTTATGGGAAAACGGTCCACTAATTTGCTTTTTATTAATAATTTTATTATATTTTTATTGCTACTAACTGATTTTAAATGTATGTGATGCAATTACGTTACACACAACATGATGTAATATCACAATGTCCTCAGCTTGTTTATATTATGCTTGACATTTAAGGAAGTGCAAAAAATGTCTACTACCGACCACATTGATTGCCCAGTGTTTAATGTGTATGCGCTAAAATACAGTCTGAAACTGTTGACAAATAAAAATACAAAGTACATAGAAACATGACGTATTTCTTAGCGTTCCATGGATTCACAGTGCGGGTAATAGATGGGGGCAGCACATTCGACTTCGACAGCGCCTGGGAATTGCAACGCGGGAGTAGGTTTAGGTACAAATTAAGTTCATTACTTAAATAAGAAAATATTGAAAAACTTCTTGCATATAAGATAGAAAACTATAAAATCTCGTTTCTACTTTTTTTTAAATGTCGACGTCCATGTCACCAGGATGCGTATTTCGATAGACATTTGTCATTAATGTTATGTTTGTTATTTGTTTCAGGAGAAATCCGGCGAAGCTTACCCGGGTAAACTATCCGTAAAGTCGGACCTGAGTCCTGTTTTCGGTGAGTACATTATATTTTAACGAACTATAATATTTATATACATACTGGGTATTGCAATGAAAGAAAAGATTTATTTAAAACATTTACAGTGTCTTTACAAGATCCTTAGCCTAAAACGATACTGTAAGTAAAAATAGTAAGTCCCAATTATTGTATAAAGAAAAATCATTTGCTGTAATATACCTTTGGGGAACTTCTTTAAAGTCCGGGAGGCTACAGTTATAGATATCTACATGTATTGAAACAATATTAATAAGCCTTATGGGGCGTGATATAGGCTTTGTGCGCTTCGGGAACGCTGAGCGTAGGGGGCTGGCGGCGTGTACCCACGCACCCGTCACAGAAGATGGTTCATCCACCCATAATGAATGGCTTAAAAGAGGGTATTGCTAGAAAGTGAACTGTCTAATAATAGAGGAGTTTGGAATAAGAACAAGGAGATGATGATTAGGTATTGCTCGCGGCTTTGCTCGTTTTATATTGTTTTTTCTTTCCCTCAGTGACAAAACTTTTTATTGAGTTAAAAAATCTGGCTTGTCACTCGTTCAAAGGCATTCTAACTATAACATGTTATTGTTCTGTAATTTAGGCACTAATAAAACAAAATATCATTAGTTTTACGTTTATGATTAGGATAATAATTCATGCCAATATAGAGGTTTACTTTAATATAATAAAACTTTGGTTTGTTGTCTTTGAGTGAATTACAGAATTTGTGCTTCGATACACATCAACAGCCTTTAACAGTCCACTGCTGGACATATGCCTCTCCTTAGAATGGAGACGGATTAAGAATACAGAGTATCTCCACCGCTATTCATCCTGTGGGTGTCGTAAGAGCCGACTAAGAGAGAAAACTAAGCAGAACAGTATCACTGCAGAGGAAAGGAAAATTCGACACAAACCCTATACCAATACGTCTGGCCAGCGTGGCATAGTAGGCCAAAACCTCCTCGCTAAGGAGAGGCCGATGTTCAGCAGTGGATCAGCTAGCAGCTATTAATGGCTGTTCATGAAGTGCCAGTTGAAGGCTTTTCGGTAGCCCTTTATTACGGGAGGTTGTAAGTATTTATTTATTTTATGTTAGAGGGGGCAGACGAATAGAAGTGTCACCTGATGGAAAGTGACTATCGCCGCTCACGAACGCCTGCAACTCAGGAGTCACAAACGCGTTGCTGGCCTCTCAGAAAGAAGTAATTATTAAATAATAACTTTTGCCGAACTGTAAAAATGTATGTTATTCGCTTTTCCTTAAAGTCAAGTGTCTAGAAGTGTAAAGCCTATGTTTGTTTGCTTCCTTAGTAGGGTATAAATGACGAACTCAAAACTAATTAGTTATTCCATGGCTTAACTCGCCTCTGTCCCTTTAACCTTATAAAAGACTGATCATAAATAACAGCATCTTTACACCATTATACCCAACCGAACACGATTATCGATATTATCGATACATCTAGCTAGTGATGTGAAATTGATTTCGATTCAACTACGAGGAAATTATAGGGAATTAGTCTTGCTTCTCACTAAAAGCGAAACAGGCCGTAAACACATTTTACGATTCATCATTTTTAACAAAAAAATAATATGGTGTTGTATTTTCTTAACGTGTCGGTTCCGAGCAAATTAAGAATCAGTTAGTTCCTACTAATGGAAATTGCGCTGGTCACGGTGGGATCTTCATGGGATAAATGTTGAAAGACTATTAATAGTAGAAAGCATGCTTGTATGCCAATATCCAACTAATGTAACAACAAATCCTATATCACGCTAGGAAAGTTCATTAACCGTCCGCCAAGCATCACGTCATCTAGTCGAAGGATCTTCTCTTTGTATTGGAGGAACATAACGCCCCTTCCTCCACAATAGTCACTAATAAAACTTTTTAGTATTAATACACGAACGGTAACTAACGTCTTATGTTTTAGCAGAACTGTTATAGTGAAAATAAACCCATCATTATTATTTCATACTTCTATACACGAAGATAAAACTCATGGAGAACCGAATTATTATTATGTATATCATGTCGAATAAGTAGATAGCTTCACGTAGTGTTGTATATACATTTTATGATTATACTCGATCGTACATAAAACTCGATCGTTAACATATTGACGCCGATGCTTGTGATAATCGAATCGTCTTTTTATACGTTTTATCGATAGTATCTGGCGTGCAACAGTAGTTCGGTTCGAACATTAACCTTACAAAGTTTAAACTTTGAAATATCTCAACTACAGTAGTAGAGCTTCTTGTTTTATGTAGTGTTCTTTTCGGTAAAAAGAGTCGAAAAACTTAAGGGAAGTAGAGGTGAAGAGAGATTTAAAGAGTTGGTGAAACCCGCTTTTCATTACCTACACGATATCATTATTATAATTTTTATTTTATTAATTTAGTTTTATTTTATGTTTAAACTTGCTATAATTGACCCAACCATATTCCACTTAAACCGCCTGCACTGGAAATCCAGCCTAACTCTGTACCCGAAGGCTATTAACTCCGAATTATGTATGTTTTATCGCCAGCTTATAATCATCTGTCACTATCGTTACAATATTTTCGTATAATTTCATCTTGCCCCACCTTCGTAGTGTTGCATTTTTATCGATAAAATATCGATTTGTCTTGCCATGAATAACATAATTACAACATTTTTTATTATTCTTTTTTATCGAAAGAGTAGGATGACTATTTGGAAAACAAATGAACATCATTGTTATACATATATTCAGTTTCTGACGGGTGCCGAAAATAACAAATTCGTTGAGATGAATGGAATAAGAGCTATGATGAAGTACGTTTCAAATACATAAAACGTATTAATGAAGAGTGATTTATATTTATGACGACATTTAATATCTATTACTACGCAGTAACAATTTAAATTTATAGCCGATGAATGACATACAGCATCAAAGCGTTTTGTGACTACGAACATTAATACAATCAAATTTACGATTCCGTTATGTTCTATCTTTTAGGTCTAAACTTGTTATATATATATTATATAAAGGTGCCTATATACTGTATAAAATATACATGACACATTACATCTTTCATCGAAAGCGATAAGTAACGGAACCATCCATCAACTCATGAAAGTATTGCGTCACTAAAGTAATTCGAAATCGGTTTATCGATAAGATTTCTCACGTGTCTGTCGAGACTCGGTCATCACTAGCCGGAGCTCGTTATTTGTTGTTATTAGTCTTTTTTTGTTATTTTTTTCTTCGGGATGTTTTCGAGAAACCGGTTGGAGTCCTAATCTGATCAGTTTGCCACGACCCTGCCGGCCAAACCAGTAAAAAGAGTATAAAGAAATGACGTACAATAAGGAATGTGGAATTGTTATAGCCTTTCTGCCTTTACTGACTATTTTCGGATTGGTTTAGGTATCAAAATCTGTATTATAAAAACCAAATGTTCAAAAAAAATCGAACCTTAATGCGCCTGATAGTATAGTTGTTAGTGATGGCTGTTGCACTAGAGTTCTGGTGGTTGATTCTCATCCAGGACAAATAATTGTTTATGTGTCTAGATTTCATTTTTAAATATAACATGTATGTATTTATCTGTATGTATTTAGTAATAAATAAGTATGTCCATCGGCAATCTGGTTACTGTAGTATAGGCTCTGGTTAGTTTGGATTCAGACCGCCGCATGTAAGGCGTTTCATGTTGATGTTATTACTATAATCATTTCAAAATCTTCAAAATAACATTTACTTTTTAAAATAAAACGTATCAACTCATTTTGTCCGTGTGTGACGGATTTAGCATACGGAGTGTTACCATACCTATTCATTCCATGGGTGGCTTAAGAGCTGACTAAGGGAGCAAACTACGCAGGGCAACAGCACTGCAAAGAGAAGGAAAACTTGAAACAAACCATACACCAACACGTCTAGCCAGCGGGGTATAGTAGGCCAAAACCTTCTTTCTAAGGAGAGACTTATGTCCACCAGTGGACTATTAAAGGCTGTTGATGATCAACCATTTTAACAGATTCATATAAGCATAATGCTTGTGGCATTTTTAATACCTTATACCATAAAGTATATTTTGTTTATAAATAATCCAGTATTGATATAAAAATCATTTTTTGTGTTCGATCCGTAATCTCCCAATAATACAAAGTATTATAACCATTAAATGTCATAGATAATGTGTAAAATGTGCGATGTATTTATCATAACAATTATTTAATGATACTTCATTGTCGAAATAGGTGTTAAATCAATTTTATTAAGCATAACTGTATTATATACCTCGCAACATAGTTTATGGTTATTAAGCTGTTATGATATTATGTTATAGAAGGGAAACAATGTCACATTTAGTAATAACCATGTCTACATATTATAACATATCGTCATCATTGTAGAAGAATACCGAAATAAATATGAAATTCAGTTTTTACCATATTTGGATACTACATTGTCTAAATATTATTATTACATTCAAGAAAAGTTATATGCATTCTAGATTTTAAATTATTTAGTGTTTGTTTGATAGGCGCTCAAAGTAAAATGATGCATGTGATTTTTCTAGTAAATTGTAAAATTATTAATTGTTATTTTTTTGGCATTTTAAAACAATTATCTTCGTATTGGAGACGTTCCACTTTTTGCAATCTCTTTTTCGATCCTATTTACAAGTCTTGAAATAGGGTAGTAGCTCTTTCTAAGCAGACAGCATAACTATTTAACTTACATAAGCATTACAAAACCTCCTTTCTAAGGTGAGGCCCATATCCAGCAGTGTACTATTAAAGGCTGCAGATGATGATGATGATGAAGCACTATTGTACAGTGTAGTCCATCATAGTTGTCTGTAAGAAATCGCAGTCTGCGATAAAACCGCCTATAGCACTGTTTTTTAACATATTTTTAGATTGCAATACTTTTTTGGATTCAGTAAAGAGAAGAACCGTAGTGTTTGGACAACCGGCATAAAAAATAAAATTACAATCGTTATTAACATATTTTTTGTACACACTT